GATCGTCTCTTGATTTTAAAAGAATGGCGATCCTTGGCTGCCTGATCATCATCCGTATCAGTGGCCTGCTGGTGATCCTCATCAATAAGACCATCCGCAGTAGCAACAATCTCCTTATCCTCCAGATCTAGCATAGCATCAGAGGGAGTAGAGCCCCCATCCTGCCTAACCAGAGGGCAATCTACTCATCCTTTCCTCAGACGCGGGCAAGCCCTTGGTGCCAAAACGGGCGAGGGTCCTCTGTAGTACCAGCAGAAGCACACAGCTGCATATGGTGAGTAGTCTCCTCTCCCATGATCATCTCCTCCTCAGATTCCTCCTGCACAATCAGTCTACGCCTCCGCGATTGTTCGAGAGCTACCGCCATATGATCCGTCCCCTGCTGGCATTGTGGAGTTTGCCTAGCGCGCTGACCAGGCTGCTGGCGCCCCTTGGTGCCTTGCCGAAGGGGGGGGGGAGGGCAGCTTTTCCAGGAGATGTTTTTTTCTGTTTATGCCGAACACCCCTACCAATCTTAACCCGTGACGACGTCTTGAAGACAAACCTCTTGGGGCTAGCACGCTTCCCAAGTGGTTTATGTTTAGATTCATGCAGCCTAGGCTGTGTCTCTTTATTCTGCTGAACTTCCGACTGTCTTGGCAGAGGATTAGGCGCCTCCTGAGCATGCGGGCGAGCATTAGTCCCTGGTAATCCTCTGGCATTCTTCACGCTCAAAACATTTTGCATTGTGTATTCCTGTTAACCCACACCGATTTACTACATTGCGGAAACTGGCATTGCGGAATTGAGGGTAATCTTCCTCCTCCAAATAAATCTTCATTCCTAGCTTCTATGTAGACATGTGTGGGCCAAAGCGTTCCTTGCCCGGCAGGGGATCAAAAACATAATCCGGTTGTGAGTGTCCCACGCGACCACAGTGATAGCAAACGGTCGGTAAAAATTCATATTTGAGATTTACCCAGAAGCTCCCGAGCTCTTCACTAACCGCCATGTATTGAGATCGCAGAGGCTTGGTAAAATCAATGAGAGCGTGCACTTTCACAAAGCACTCATCGGTGTCCCTGGACGCAAAGACATTTGCTTCCAAGACTTGGCCAATGGTTCCAGCTACCACTTTCCGGCCAAAAGGGAGCAATGGCCAAATCATCAAATGTAAGCCTCGAGATAGATGGTGTCCAGGAACAGAGATGGAAAATCATGTCCTTCACGATCCATGGTGTTCTTTTTAGAATCCAAACCCTTCTCTCCTCACTTGGAAGGTCAATCTCAAATAGGCCAAATTTGGAGGTCGAAACCCTAAGGTTTCCTTTTATCCGCCAAGCATCAATCAAACCTTCTCTTAGCTCCATAGGGGTGATTATAGTCTTTGAAAATAATCTCCCCAAAAGGGTCCTCGACGTTCGAGACTTAACCGATTCGACTTCCTCAAGTGAAAACTCGACCACTTGATCCTCCGCTATACGCGCCATATTATTAACTTGTGACAAAGAGATGGATAAATCTCTATTAGCATCCACACTGGCCGCAAAAGGGATGGGCAGTGCCACTAGCTCCCGATGGCTGCGCGGAGGAGGAAAATTGTCTTGCGGCTGAAAGTTAGAGAATCCCAATTTAACAGAGCAGGGGAGGGTGTGGGAGTGGATCCCATTACCTGAAGGAAGGGCAGAATCATTACTCTGCGGAGTAGGAGAGCCGGCGTTTCTCTCTTGTCCTCTGATTGCAATTCTCTAAACAAGGCTCTGTGCCAGTTCGTCATTTGGAGGAGTAAATTTATAAGAAAAAAGAACCGCCCGCCCCAAGAGGAGCCGTGTTCCCCTAGTCCTTCCGTCTTGCAGAGTTGGAGTGGGATTGGGAGACTTTGGCTGGGGATCTGATTTTGGGAATCCATAACGGATATAGCCCCCGCAGATCCCGCCACCTAAAGATGGAAAAGCGTAAAGAATTCCGTCCGTCTCTATCCAGTTCCGCCGCGGCCTCACCTTGTTGCGATAAGCAGCGGCGCCACCAGACGGCATCTTGTTGCGATGCGCGACGGCGCCACCAGACATAATGGTTACCTCGCCGCTAGCTTTATTAGGAATGGTTCACAAGGATTGAATCGCCGCCCTCCCATCGTCTGGCAGCGCACAGAGATGCCCATCCCCTAAGGGAACAGTCCGAGCAATATGCTCAATAGCACCATCGAATTGGAACAGATGGATTGGTTCACCATCAAAATAGGGTATCCTCTTCCCGTCTTGTGCACTTCTTTGCTGCACAGGAAAAGTACCAGCCCCTAAGGGCAAAGGCTGATTAAATCGGCCATGATTACTTTGGATTGAAATTGTAATTGGGTTTCTTGCTATCGGACGGCTGCACCCCGCGAGCGAGGGCAGAGGAGATTCGTCATCGTCCAGTTCTGATGAGTGGGGAAGCCAAAACCTCCATTGTTGCAGGGGTCTGATCCTACCTCTCTTTGCTGGACGTTCTTCTTTAATTAAATCTTTAGCCAAAGCAGATTGAAACAGTAGTTTCCTAAGGCGGAGCCGCCTTGCTTCGCACTGGACAGCTTCACGGCGATTCCTCTTTGGAAAGGGGGTTGCTTCCTTCTCGTCATTGTTGGGGGTCCCTCGCTTTCCTGATCCAAGTAGCCGATCTCGTGTTGCAGAGAAAGATCCGCTATGCCAGTGGTTCTGGTTTCGCCGGCTGGCCGTGAAAACGGCTACGGCGGCATTTGCTATCTACCGTCCAAGCACCAAACAGAAAAGGAGGAGAGAGGAGAGAGAGCCTCTCATTCCTTTTTTTTCTTTTTTTTTTCCTCTCCGAAGGAATAATTAAATATAGGATTTTTTTTTTATTATCCCACTATAATTATAGAATGGAAAAATCCCTCCAATTTTTTTCCAATCAAAATCTGACAATAGAAAAATTCCCTCCCAACTCACCATTTCGACATTCCCAAAGAAGGAAAATGAAAATCTGATTCCCTTCCAACTTACCATGTTTAAATACAAAGATAGAATATCAAGAATCCCTCCATGTTAGTTACGAATTTTTTTTTTTTTTTTAATTCTGCAACTATAATTCTAGGAGGGAAAAATCCCTCCAACTTTTTATCCAACCAAAAATTGACAGCTGGAAAATTCCCTCCCCACCCTCATTTTCGACATACCAAATATAGGGTGTTCAAACGGAGTGGTTACCGTGGTAATCGTCTTAACCGATATTATTTGGATAATTATTTTGGTTGGGTTAAATTTTTTAGCGTGTTACGGTTAGATGGTCTGTTTGGTTTTAGAAACTCCTAACCAATAAAACCAAATTAACTAGTTAAGTAATTTATCATATATCTAATATATATTATATACACATACTTAATACTTTGCATAACCACTCAAGAGTCAAATGTAAGATTATTATATTTGTTACATGTATTTATGTTAAGGGTTAACTACAATTACGTGTTGATTATTATGTGTTATTCATTATATAAATTGTGAATTGATGCAATAACCGAAATTTTTTCTCACTTAATGATAATGTGATGCTATATTGGTTATTTTGGTTAACTTATTAACCAAACCGATTAAAGTTTAGTTTGGTTAATTTGGTTGTTGTATTAGTTTGGACGGTTTGGTTACTATATTATATTCCATGGTTAATAGAATTTAGACTTATTTGGTTTGGTAATTACCATGGTAACCATTTGAACACCCAACACAAATCGGAAATGAAAATCCGATCTCCTCTAGCTCAACACATCTCTTCCCTAATTATCTCTCCACTACATCTACCAAAACCTTCCGATCTCCTCTAGCTCAACACATCTCTTCCCTAATTATCTCTCCACTACATCTACCAAAACCTTCCAGCTCCTCTGTTCATCTTCCTCTCCCAGTGGATTATAGCTCCCTTCGATGAAAGTTTCCGACACCAAGTAGTTCGTGATGGCTCTAGTTGATGCAGCCAGACGGAGAAGCTCGACGGTGTTGGCCGACTTGCTGAAGAGGACGATGACTTTGAGGGAGGAGTTGATGTACTCGTGGAGGACATCGATTGGGTTGAGTAGGGAGCCCATAGGCCATTGGAGACAAGGGTCTGAGAGATTTTGTTGGTGACGAAGTATGACTAGTCGATGGTGGAGAAGAAAATGGCGGCGGATGCATTAAGGAAGGCTTGCACGAATGAGAGTGTCCAGGCCAAAAATAGAGCATGTTCCAAGAGAGCGATTAGGGCGAGCAAGAGGACTGGATCCCCTTACTGCGGTGCTCATGGGTGCCATTCGTACTCCCTCGTCGGCATCTCGTCGCCTCAGCACCGCCAATCATACTAATTCCCTTACTGTGGTGCTCATGGGTGCCATTCGTACTCCCTCGTCGGCATCTCGTCGCCTCAGCTCCGCCAATCATACTAATTCCCTGCATGCCAGCGGTGGAAGTACGGGTAATAGGAAATCCCTGTTTTGTTTTCTAGGCATGCAGTCATATGTGGCTAGCTTGAATATTCTCGAGAATCATGTTTTTGATTTGGATCTACTGCTCTCAAGTTTGTATGCTTGAGGACCATTCTATTTCTAGTCTTTGTTTCTGTTTTTGGTCGTTGTTGTTGGGCTACTAGTGCTTTATTCTAGGGGTGGCAACAGGACGGACCGGGAACATGTACTTATCTCCCGTTATCCATCCGTCAAGGCTGACGGATTTCCCCATCCCTATCCCCGCAGGCTAAACAGGTGAAATCTACTTACCGTCCCCGTCCCCGTCCCCTGCTGGATCCGGGTAACTCGGAAATCACCACGAATCCTAATAACAAAAAATAAAAAAGAGGAAAAACCTGAAAAAATGTCAAAAACACTAAGATTCTTGAAATTTGAAGAAGCTTGTTGTTCAAGCCGCAGAAATCCAAAACACAAAAGGAAGATCTGGGGCTATAACCCATATCCCACCACTCAGCATCCAGATATTCATATTTCAAACAAAAGTGATAGGTTGCAGCAAGCAAACAAGCTGCTGCAACCAATTTTCCACCATCCAAAACCCATAAAACATGTTCATCACTACATCTATTGACTAGTGTTCAGATTCAAAAAGAAGAGAATGAAAAACAAAGCTAATCAGCCCCAATATCGTCATCCAGAAAATAAACTAAAACCTAAACTAACACACGAGTTCCACGAGTTCCTTTGATCCTTTCCTCCAACAGCAAGCAACAATATGATGGAAACCAACTCAACAACAACATTCATCCTTCAAAAGCAATCACTGCAAGAAATAGAATAAAAAACACAGTTAGAGAATTGAAACTATCTAAAATTGAACAAGTAAAATGTGCAGAAGTTTGGCTTTATACCTTGAAACTTCCAACAAATCAGTCATCTAGGGATATTAGATGCTTTTTCATCACAAGTCCCCCTTGATATGCAAGAATAAAAAAATACAGTTAGAGAATTGAAACTAAGGACTAACCTTAGTTAAACTAATCACACAAAAGACATAATTGAGATCCAACTAACTTACCAGCTTCCTCTTGATCTTTAGTATTGGAATTTGCCATTGCTGGAGCTAAGAACACCCCTTCCATTGCCTCGACAATAACCTTTGATGATTCTGGAGATGCAAAAAAAACAAAAAAGAAAAATAGCATTCAAAAATTTAACATTAAAAAGCTCAGAAGGGAGTAATTGCAGATTAACTTGTTGCATTTCCTCCATAATCCAACTCCGGGTACACATCATTGCCTCCACTGTATCATAGTGCAGCCTACTCCGATGAGGGTCTATTAACCTTCACCTGAGCTAAAAGCATATTCAGAAGCCACTGATGTGACTGGTATGGCCAAGAAATTTCAGTCTCAGATTACTTGGGGAATCATCAAGATTTTGGAGTGGAATGAATGTTTGGGGGATTCGATGGAGAGAAAATTGGCTAGGGATTTAGGGTTTGGGGAGGGTCTCAAAGTGGATGGGAGCAGTCAGATGGGGAAGCTGAGAAGAAATGCTGATTAGGGTTTCCCCTGTCCTTCGCTTGGTTTATATACTGACATTCAAAACGACGTTGTTTCATGACACAACGTGGGAACGAGGCATATACCACGAACTCTGTCGCCACCCATCCCCTGTATTCGCGGGTTTCATGCTTGCCCGAATTCACCAAATACCCACATCAGAAGAGTAATTTGGTCACCATCTGGGCGGATTTCGGGTGGGTACCCGATGAATCGGTTAGGGTTGTCAAGCATACTTTTTTCATCGACGAGAGGCCAACAGCCAGAGAACAAAGGTTACTAGGAAGGGATAAGAAGGCAAAGAAGAGACACCGGAGCTAGAATAGGGATAAGGTGGATACAAATGATTCCTTTCACAAATGTTCATAAAAAAGCTCACTCTTGAGCTTTTTTACCTCAATTTCCGTTATGAACTTTAGTTCACTGAAAATAGGATTTGAAGCATTCTTTGCGGCAACCACAATTGATAGTCTGTAGTTCACTAAATGCTTTTTTTTACCTTGGATGTGGGTGTGGTTAAAAGAATTAAGTTCAGGTAACGATTTATTCTCCTCCTTTTGGTGATTGATTGCTTGGATAACATCTTTCCTTATGCTATTGGGAGAATTTCATGGCAAGACCTTGTTGGTTTGGACAGCTAAGGTGGTACGTGGCTTGTGGATGCCATGGTGATTGTATTGTTGAAATCACCTTAGAATGGCATTAGGACACGTAAATCTTGTGATGGTGGGGTTGTGGCCGAGCAGTCATGCTTCGATCGATTGAAGGAAAATCAATCCCTTCGTTGATTCAATTCAATCAGCTTCAATATAAGGTTAGTGTAAATGGGATAAATTCTACGCCTTACGTGTTCTTTCAAGTTTGACGAGCTTTAAGTATTTTGATAAAGTGATTGTTATTGTTTGATTGTGTTTATGATTGGTGATATGTGCTTTGTTTGGGCTATGTTTAGTGTGAACACGTGTGAGTTTTTATTTACTTTAAAGCTTTACATTTAGGAGTTATGATTAAAGGGTAAGAAACAAGTTCTCCTTTTTAAGAAGTAACTCACCTTCAAGAAAGTGTTTTTAGTCGCTAGCGCCAGTCCGTTGCCATTTGAGATATTTGAGACAGAGCAGCAGTTATGCTCTTGAGATATTTAAGTTAGCAGCAATTATGCTCTTGAGATTTTTAAGATGAGCAGCAGTTATACTCTTGAGAATCGTGGAAGAAGAGCCTTCCACGATAAGTTTAAGTTTAAGGAAAGTCTGGATTGCTTCTCATACGTATGAGTTGGCAACCAGACTAGCTAGTGAGGGATCCCCGTGTCAGTCAAGTATTTAAGTCAAGCTTTGAGATTTAAGAATGGAGTAACAGTAACTCTCATAAAGTTTTAAGAATTAAGCTTTTTAATAGTGGAAGTACAAAACAACTTCCACACAGTTAAGTAAAGTGCTCAAGTATTAATAAGATGTTAAACGTAAGTGCGTAGACTGACCCTATCTCACTCACTAGTTTGAAGAGCTAGAGGAGGCGCTAGAGGAGCAGTTATTAAGCAGCGAGTTCGGGGGCAGCCAGCTAGAAGAGAACAGTATAGGCGTCACGGAGGATGCTTAATCAATGTTTTCAGTAACAACAACATTAGAGATTATTAGTTATTTACATTTATGATTATGAGTATAGACTGGAGATCATTTTGAGAATTTAAGTATTGAGTTTGCCCAGGAGTTAGGGCGTTGCTTTGAACTACTAGTGTGTGTTTCAGTATTTTATTTATGAAAATTTTTCCCACTGCAATTTAAGATTTGAGTATTTTATTTATCAAGGTCATTTTAATAAAAGTAGTACCCGGCCGGGTGAGGGTGTTACATTTTGGTATCAGAGCCAGTCTTCCTCTGTACCTTGGTCTCCAAGGAATACTGGAATATCGGTCTCAGTTTTAAAGGTTTTTGTTTTTAAAGGAAAGGAAAAATGGGTCAAGGATCTTCTTTTAAGAGTTTATAGAATCTCCAGTCTACTCTAATCATAATAAGGTGAATAACTATTACAGCACAACACTACGGGAAGGTAGCACGAGGGTGAAATTGGTTTAAGAATAAGCTAGGATGCGAGTTAAGTTATTACGTCATGAGACGTAAAATAAGAGATTGAGGCGGATAGCGATCATCAGTATGAAAGAAAGGAGGCAAGAAATGTGGCCAACTCAAGTAGAATGTCAAGATATGAGGCAACAAAGGTGGAGTTTGTGAATGAGTTTAAACTAAGAACGATTACAAAGGCTCTCAAGATCAAGTATCTCGGCGACATGATGGATAGTATTTGTGAATTAGTTAACCAACTACCAAAGGAAGAGGTACAATCACCAGCTTCCAGTTAGGGGTGTTCAAACGGTTTGGTTACCGTGGTAACCGTTTTAACCAGTACTATTTGGATAATTTGGTTTAGTTAATTTGGATAATTGGTTTGGTTTGGTTAAAGTTTTTAGCTTGTTTGGTTTAGGTGGTTTGGTTTGGTTTCAGACACTCCTAACCAGTCAAACCAAATTAACCAGTTAAGTAATTAGTCATATATGTAACATATATTATATACACATACTTAATACTTTGCACAACCACTCAAGAGTTAACGTTCAACCCTTCTAGACTCATAAAATATAAAGCTCAATATTGCTCATATAGTGTATATTTGTATATGTAAAGTGTAGACCACAACATATGGACGCCTAATTTAGATAAATTTCATACATTATGATGGATGAAAACTTTAAAGGAAGGTCATTTCCAGCCTATGATAATTGCTAAGAGACTAGTTCAATTTACACAAACACAACAATTCATTAACCCATACCATTGTCATAAAATTTTGTTAGGTGAATACTTCTATACTAATCGTAAGATAATTGTTTTAGTTGCATGTATTTTTTTAAGGGTCAACTATAACTACGTGTTGATTGTTATGTTTTATTCATTATATAAATTACGAATTGTTGCATTAACCGGAAAATTTTCATCATCAATGATAATGTGATTTTATATTGGTTAATCTGGTTAACCAATTAACCAAACCGATTAAACTTTAGTTTGGTTAATTTGGTTGTTGTATTAGTTTGGACGGTTTGGTTATGATATTGTATTCCATGGTTAATGGAATTTAGTCTTATTTGGTTTGGTTATAACCATGGTAACCATTTGAACACCCCTACTTCCAGTAGCTATAATAATAGGAGGATGTCAGGGTCTTTGGTCCTAAGCAATGGAAAGTGGGCAATGAGTCAACAACCAAATAGGTGCCCCAGGAAGCCATACAAATGGTTTTAGTGGACGACACGGTTACAATGCAATGACAAGAAGAAATGGAAAATTTAGACTCTAAGCAGTGCTAGGGTCGCATAGAGGAAGCAAAGGAGGAAACAAGTGGGTCATTGGAAGTTTAATAAGAATGCAAGGAGTCAACAGTTCAAGGATAGGAGGAAGAAGGGCCATTTATCAATGTCGACAAAGGAAGCCCTTTATAGATACTATGTCATTAAAGAAGACGATCCATGAACTTGGGGAGTTAGGCTGATAGCAACCTTTAAAAGGAACAAGACAAGTGTCAAGATAATCGAGATAGAGGATGAGCTTGGATCAAGAATAACAATGTGCTAGTGAACAACGTCGAGCTAGAAAGAGGATGGATTGGGATATGAGGGACCCTACAAACTACCTAGATCACGAAAGGTCAGGAGGTCGTTGGGACCATTGAAAGGGGAATTCCAGAGTTCGTGATGATATGTTGTATGGTTGTCCTATCCAAAATGGAGGACGCACCTAGCCACCTAGGGTTTGTGAGGGGTGGTAGAAGGAGGAACCTTTGTATAAGTGGGAACTAGAGGGCTAAGAGCTAGAGTCCCTGAATCAGCTGTAGGATGTCATTCAACCAACCGAGTATAGACAAGCAAATAGAACAATCTGTCAAAAATGTCAGAAAATTAGAGGAAGAGTTTCAAAGTCGTGATAAGAAGGATTTAGGTATGATACCAGGAGAGAGCAGGAAGGCTAGAGGTAGTTTGACGAGATTTCAAGTAGTGCATTGGTCAAGTCTGAGGTGGGAATTGCAAGCTCCTTTGCGCGAATTTATCGCTAAATCATTTAGTGATTAGTAAGCAATCTAAAAGTAGCAATGAACTTCAGCCTAGAAAGTGATTTTAGTTATGTCGTAGAGTATATGAAGTCGAGGAAGGACAATTGTCGTAATCCAGTGGGTGGGGAAAACGATGTTATACAAGTAACGAGGGCTAGAATGTGCAGGTAGAGATACTTGTCGGACGAGAAAAACCAAGGACTTTAAATCAGTGTTATCAAAACCGGGCCGGACCGGCCGGTCAGACCCCGGCTAACCGGCTCCGGACACTCACCCGGTTCCGACTCCTTCTAAGCAATAAGGAAACTGGCCGGCCGGGTTTTAACCGGTTCATCCGGCTAACCGTCAGAACCGCCTAAACCGAAGCGACGGTTTTGGGATTAATACTTACTTTTTATAATAAAAAAATATTAGTTACCTTTTTTTGTCTTGAATCGACATAAAATTGGAAAGATAAAAATAATGCTTCTTTTCCTTTTTTTCAACTTTCCTTTTTCTTTTTTTAGCACTCAATCACGTTACCTATTTTCTGCTTCTTCTTAATTCCTTTCCCCAAATAAGAACAATATTGATAGAATGCATCATTTTGTTACTTTAATTACTTTTTATTCAAATTATTATTTTATTTACTTTCCTCTTCTTGTCAATTTCCCCATTTGATTTCTCATTTGGCCAACTCCAACGGTCAAACTCTAAAAAGCAAAAAATCATTATTTATTACTATTTTGATTAACATTTTAATATTTCATTCTTCAATTGAATATGTAAATAAAATATAAAATTCTGAATTTAAAAATTAGTATTAATTTTTAGAGTTCACTTGAAGTCATGATTATTTTATTTGAATATTTTATATGTCACCGGTTTTATCACCGGTTTCATACCGGTTAATCACCGGTTATCCGATAAACCTTAAACCTCTTGTTAATCCGGATCACTGTCCGGTCCGGTTTCGACAACAATGCTTTAAATAAGAAGACCTATTGCCTGGTTGGCCTAGTCCAAATGGGCTCTATTGAGGCCAGAGCTGGAGGAATCAACAAGTGACAGTAGAATGATATTCAAGCCTCTTGGACAACGAGGTTACCAGGATGGAGAGATCAAGACCTAGTTAGCATAGGGAGCAAGATGTCTTTACGAAGTCATAGAGGGCAATATGATTTCTTTGTATAAGAGGCAATGAACCCTCAAGGGAAGACATAAGCTC